CATGGCGGCGCCCAGCCTGACGCGCCGCTATTCCTTCCGTGTTCCGGAGCGCCGCTATTTCAGTCTCGACGCGGGCGCTTCCGCTCCCTCTTCCGGATCCGGCGGCTCCAGGTATGGCGGCGGGCTACTGCGGGCCGCTGGCGTCTATCGGCGTCCATCCGCCGCCATCCGTTGACCGGCGAGCTCTGAGGGCGGCTCCGAGGGCTCCGCTGGTGGCGGTGGCTGTGGCTGTGGCTGTGGCTGTGGCTGTGGCTGTGGCTGTGGCTGTGGCGAGGGGCTGGGGGCTAGGGGCCGCATTCGGGCGGGCGGAGAAACAGGGCCGCCTCAGCGGCCTAGCGGCCGGGGTGCTGCTGTGGGGCCGGCAGCCCCCGTCGGGGCGGCGTCCTCTTGTTGGGTGGCGGCGTGCCCTCATCTGCTGTCAGCTCCGCGGCCGGCTGGGCCAGGAGCGGGCAGCGGGCTGAGTACGGAGCGGCGCTGCTGCGGCCGTTGTCACTGGAGGGAGGGGAAGGGAGGGCCGTGTTCGCTTCAGCGCAGCTTTTGGGCTCGGCGGTTCGGTGCGGATGATGCTGTGGTTTGTGAACTGCCATCCGGAGATCGAGTTCTTAAACCGTTGCTGCTTTGGTTTTGCCTAGTTCAGGTGTGAAAAATGGTTCAGCGCCTGACCTACCGCCGTAGGTTATCCTACAACACAGCTTCCAACAAGACCAGGCTGTAAGTAAGCCAGAGTTGCTAGAAATTTTTCGGTGAAGAAAATTAAGCTTGGAGTTGGATTGTTGCATTGACTGTTTTGCTGCCATTTAGGTCCCGAACACCTGGAAACAGGATTGTTTACCTCTACACCAAGAAAGTAGGGAAAGCACCGAAGTCAGCATGTGGGGTATGCCCAGGACGTCTTCGTGGTGTAAGTCTTAGGGTTGCTGGCATAAGAGTTTGGCAGCTATTTCTTTCCTTTTTTCTTGTTTTAATGTTAAAATTCTTTTCTTGTTTGATATCTGTTTCATCATGAATTCAAGAACAGCCTTTTGTTTTAAATTTTTCCATTTGAATATTGTAAGGTGGAGCTGGTGAAACAGTTTGGAAGCGTAAGGAACAGGTGCTTTTTTAATGCGTGTGATTCTCATTGCTATTATCTGAACCTGTGTGAGTTAACTTTTAACTGGCTGCAGTTGTTTCAAGTTAGATCTAGATTAATCTGTTGCAGGGCTAAAACTTAGAATTTTATCTACTAGGTAGATTTTTCAAAAAACAAGCATCATCTGACTATGATTTTTAGGAAAAAAGGACTGACTTTTGTATTTTAATGTGCTATTTTATTCCCAAACTTCCCTCGTTTGATGCTATTGCCTTCAATGGCAGATCAGAATGTTTGAGTAACAACTTATTTTCAATCAGCTTCTACCTTTACAAAGATTATCGTTTTTAATAATAAGCAATTTAAAAAACAGTGAATGTATTTCAAAAGCAGTAGAATGGAAAAATCAGCTTTGGAGTGCTGCAGGCAGCATGGATACAGTGTGTGGCTTCACTTCCTGCCTGTTCAGTAATCAGCTTTAGATGCTGCTGGGGCTTTTTGAAGTCAAACTATCCAAGTCTATTTCCATAATACAGCTGTTACTCAAAATTAGGCAGCGCTCTCATTTTCTTCCAATGTTTGCTTCATATAGGTGCGTGCTGTGCGTCCTAAAGTTCTTAAGAGGCTGTCAAAGACAAAGAAACATGTCAGCAGAGCCTATGGTGGTTCCATGTGTGCTAAGTGTGTCCGTGACAGGTAAGCATATAGCAAACTAACTCTATTCTTAAGGTCACTTAATGTGAGTTTTGAATCTTACTGCATCTTTGTAGTGTAGGCCAATCAAGGGAGTGTGTATAAACAGGAGAGGGAGTGGCTGTTACAAGGGTGGATAGTGATAGGACAAGGGGGGATGGTTTTAAACTAAGACAGAGGAGGTTTAGGTTAGATATGAGGAGGAAGTTTTTCACACAGAGTGTGGTGACACGCTGGAACAGGTTGCCCAAGGAGGTTGTGGATGCCCCATCCCTGGAGGCATTCAAGGCCAGGCTGGAATGTGGCTCTGGGCAGCCTGGTCTGCTGGTTGGTGACCCTGCACACAGCAGGGGGGTTGAAACTCGATGATCATTGTGGTCCTTTTCAACCCAGGCCGTTCTATAATTCTGTGGTTTCTGTTCTTCTGTTGTCCTATGTTCTTTTGCTTTGTCTTACGCAAAGATGTTAGTGAAAGATCATGCTAACTCATTTTTTGGGACCCACTGATGTAGTTGTCAGCATTTTATGTAACTTCATGCAGTTAAGCTTTAAGATGACTTTTGCTAGGCATTCCTTAATGAAGCTTTATTGTGTAACAGCCATGGCTGTTTACTTCCTTGATAAAGTTGAGGAAGACTGTGTATTACAAACAATATGTCATCCCTGTGAATAGTAATCAAAGCAGATCTCTGGAGCCAGCGGTGTAATGCCGGTTTTTCATCTGTAGTGCAAATGTTGCCAGCCTCTTCTTTTCTCTTCTGTGAGTTCTAAGCTAAATCGCATTAGGTGCCACTGAAGACAGGTTGTTACAGCTGCAGGTCTTTAGCATAACTTTTCAGTGTTAAATGCCAGTCTTTTGAGTGTTTCCCACACACTGTGATATTGATAGTTTGCTTTTAACAGATGAGTGCCTGTCTGTCTTTGCCTGAAAGTACACCTCCTTCCCTGCAGCTGGCAGTTCTTTGTCTTTTGTCTGTTGAAGCCTTGCTGGTAGGCTGTTTTTGCTTTTAACTCAAACTCATCAAATAGACTGTTGATGTATGAGGACTACCACATAGATCTGTCCACATGGTGGACCTGTATGCCTTCCAGAAATAATAATTGTGTTCAGGCATGACTTAACCTGCCCGTCTTTGTTTATGGACGAAGACACTCTAATCCTGGGAGAGCAGCTGCTGTTGTTTTGCTGACTGGACTCATGTCAATTCTTCTGTAATTCTGATGGAGGAAACTGACTAGCTGGTCTCACCTGTTACTATTTTAAGAACTGTTAAATTAATTTGCTGTTGAGGATTTCAGCTTTTTTTTTTTTTTTCCTTTTAATTTAGTGAAGCCATCGAGCATTGCCTTATCTGCCTACAAGGCACTAACCCTACATTTGCAAAAAAACAAGGGCTTTTTCCCCAAATCTCCACATTTGTATGCTGCCACTGCCCCTGCTCTTATCTTTTGGTGCTGGCAAGAACGCTCACAGCTTCTTTTAAACTAATATGGAGCTAACACCACACATAGAACATGAAGCACTGGGGCCAACAAAACTGATTGCAGCTTTCTTCTTTTGTGTTCTCAGTTGATTAGATGCATCTCCTGATGGTGTTGTGCTTCCTTTCCAGAATCAAGAGAGCTTTCCTTATTGAGGAGCAGAAGATCGTTGTGAAAGTGTTGAAGGCACAAGCACAGAGCCAGAAGTCAAAGTAAATCTGTTTGTATTTTCTGCCCAATAAATGAAAGTTCCACTTTCCTGGTGTCTTGTCTTTCTGCATGCTGATGAAAGCTGGTAAGAGCTGCTCACAGCTTGGTAAAGGCAAAAATGGATTTTGATGCAGCAGAAACAGTTAGGATACTGTGTACAGTCATGGGGGCGAAGCAGGCCTGCCTGAACAGGGCTCCCAGCTTTGTCTCAGAATCCCGAGGCAGACTGGAGTAACTCAGCAACCCTTTTTTCATGGCAGCAGCTGTGCATGAAATGACTGGAAGACATCTAAAACAGAAAAGCAGACAGCTGGCTAAAGACTAGAAGACAGTGCCAGATGAAGAGGAGCAGAGCTAGAGTAAGCCAAAGGTAGTTTCTTGTTTGTTTTTGTAGTATGTTCTGCAGTTCACTGCTATTTGAATCCGAGGGTAGAGGGTGATTGTCTGACTTGAAGTTAGTGCTGTGTCTGCTAGACCATTGCGTGGTCTGGATTTGGAGGAAAGCTCCAGCTGCTTTGCTCAGGTCACTTGTCAGGTGCTTCCTGGATCTGCAGCTGCAGGCACCATCCGAGCAGAGCTCCGGGTGAACAGACTAATAGCTCCGAGAATCAGCTTTTAGAGTAGCAGCAGGAAAGGAGGTAAAATATTTGAATGCAGACCTTGATCCCAGATGGATGGCATTTGGAGGTGATTCTATGATCACTTGGGTCCATTCAGGCTGCGCTTCTGAGAAGCGTACAAAAGGAATTTTTTCCTGCTGGCTCTGTGCTGGCTGTTCACACTGTGCCTCACTGTGTAGTCTGCTCCTCAGCTAAGAGATGTATAATGAGAAGAATGACAAGAAGAGCTTGGGATGTTGGGATCTGCTGCCTGCAAGCATGGAACACTTTGTCAGCATTGCCTCTGAGTGATGGAGGTGGCTATGATCCTGCACACACCAACACTGCACAGGGCCAAGCCTGCTGTACCCCAGAGATTCATTTCTTCAGTGCCCCAACTCATTACAATAATGTTCTCAGAGCAGCTCGATGTTGCAGTAAGTCACCTAGTTGTATGAGGCCTTCCTGTCTCATCAGGTTGTGCTGAAATTCCTTCTCAAGGCTGCAGCTCGTTAGAGGCTGCTTTAAGTGCTAAGATTAAACGTGCTGATGTTTTTAGGTGCTGTTACTGTAGTTTACACGATTAAAACTGTATTAGTTGTTGCCTTCCTGCAGTAGTAGAAACTTTGGTGCTGTGGTTTAAGTAGGGCAAGCATGGGGCTCTGGGAAAGAGGCAATGATGGAGGCAGAACAGTTGAAGAAGAATTGAAAAATGCCATAAACGTCTATTTATTTAAAAGGCAGAAACCTTAGCTAATGACCAGCCGGGATTCTTCCCAACGCTGGGGAAGGACGGTTCCTAGCGGGGCGAGGGGCAGTGCTCCGCCGGCTCAGCCGATGCTGCTCGGGCCGCAATCCCCGTGCCCGCAGCCGCCGAGCGATCGGCCCCGCTCACCCTGAGGGCGCTGCGTGCGCGGAGCGCTGCTGCCCCCGCGCGGCCTGTCTGTCCTGCGGGCAGCGCTCCGCCCGCTCCGCCGCGCTCCTCCCGGCTACTCGGTGGCGACACGTCAGGGCTGCTGGGCCCTGGCAGGTGGGTAAAGGGAATCGTTACCCTCCGAGGAGCGGCCTCGGCTTCCGGATGTTTTTCGCAAATCGAAGGCGTGCGCAGAGAATATCTTACGTTCCAGCGTCGCTTTGCGGGGATTTTGTTGGTTTCATCTTTTTTTTTTTTTTCGCTTTTCTTCTCTTTACTCGCCCCTGCCAGGACCCGGCTGGCTTTCCGTTTCCGCCTTCGTGTGAGCAAAGCGCCCGGCGGCGCGGGACCGGCGTGCGCACCGAGCCGCCGCCATGGAGACGCTGTTCCGGCTGCCCTTCGCCGTCCTCGAGTGCCCCAACATCAAGCTGAAGCGACCGGGATGGGTGCACATGCCCTCGGCCATGACGGTCTACGCGCTGGTGGTGGTGTCGTACTTCCTCATCACCGGAGGTACCGCCGCGCCAGGGGAGGCCGCGGCGATGGAAGCCGCGTGGCTGAACGTCCTGCGGCGCCCGGCGGGCCATAGGATGCGCTGCCCGCCTGCCAGCTGTCGCCTTGGTTTTCCCCCTTCGCTTGAGACTCCAAGCTGACGCTGTGTGTTTGTTTGTTTCCTCGCAGGAATTATCTACGATGTGATCGTGGAGCCCCCCAGCGTGGGCTCGATGACGGATGAACACGGGCACCAGCGGCCGGTGGCTTTCTTGGCATACAGGTAGGAGCAGCGCCACGTACACAAACATGCGTGAAGGAGCTGTGCCAGCTTACCCTGAGCTTCCCAAAAGGCTGAGCCCATCCGAAATCTGGGCTGTGATTTGCAAATCTGAAATAAAACTGTTAAAATACAGCAAAAATTAGAAAAATTAGATCTTTCAAAAGCTTGTAGGACTGTATATTTTGGTAACGAGTATGTTTTGATCTGGTACTACTTCCAGTTTTTCCTACCTATTTGTTTTTTTTTACTGGGTGCAGATGCATGGTGATATAATCTTCATGCAAAGTGATGGTCTGGCCTTTTAGCTTTTAATGTAATTGAGAGTCTTGTGCCTGAAGGTTAGAATACATAACATGGATGCCCCATCCCTGGAGGTGTTCAAGGCCAGGTTGGATGGGGCCCTGGGCAGTCTGGTGTAGTATGAAATGTGGAGGTTGGTGGCCCTGCCTGCGGTAGGGGGGGGTTGGAGATTCGTGACCCTCGAGGTCCCTTCCAACTCAGGCTATTCTATGATTCTGCGAACATACAAATACAAAATAGATGTTTGCACCTATTACTGACAATAAGCAAGAAATTGCTTAGTGAGGATCTGGTCTAAAAATACTTAATCTATACATGTTAATTTTTTTTCTCTACGACTGTGTGTGTGCGAGAATCACAGTTCGTATTTTTATTTTTTTAAAATACCAGAACCATTCTGTAAGTCTGTGTCACGCATCGTGTGTAAATTTTGATTTGAGCTGGATGTAGTGTATGACTCAGACTGGGCTGGATTGTTGCAGTGTGCACACATTGGGCTCCTGCAGGGAATTGACTGCACTTGCGTACAGTTCAGCAGAAACAACGTGAAAGAAGGTGGCATTGACGATTTTAAGGATCTGTGGCAAAAATGATCATTATCATTTCAGTATCAGCATGCATGCATAGCAGTTTCAGTTGTACCACGTCTATGAAGTTGCTGGTATTGCTGATTACAGTAATAGAAAAAGGCTTAGTTATTGTTGCATGCAGAAGATCCAGTTGCATGCCCAGCGTGCAGGTAGCAAAACACTCTGCAGACAGGAGCCATTTTTGCTGTGTGCTGGAACCTGCAGATGTGCTTCACGTGCTGGCACAGTACTCAGAATGGGGTTTGTTCCAGGCTGAGAATTAGGGCACAGCTGCCTAAACATCATGGTGGAAATAAGTTTCGGAGAGCTTGTTGGCCCCAGCTCTGCACCTTGAGTCATCTGTGAAAGCTGGTGCTACTTTTGGAGTAGATATTTCTGTAAGCTGATGAGCTTGCATGGTATCCAATACTGTATGCTACTGTGCATGAAACCATCATGTTCTTGCCCAGTTGCTTTGCAGGCTCTTAGTGGAGGAAATAAATTACATATAACAGTTTTAATGTAGTTGCGTAATGTAAATTTTCTGAATTTACTTAGTTAGGAAGTCATCTAGCAAAGTTAATAAGTTGAGTAGCTGCATTTTGAAATACAGATAGTTACTTTAAATCTAAATTTTTTCTAACATCCTACCATCTCCCCTCTGTTTTTTTCTCCTGTAGAGTAAACGGACAGTATATTATGGAAGGGCTTGCATCTAGCTTCCTGTTCACAATGGGTGGCCTAGGATTCATAATTTTGGATCGATCCAATGCACCAAATATCCCCAAGCTGAATAGGTTTCTCCTGCTCTTCATTGGATTTGTCAGCGTGCTTTTGAGCTTCTTTATGGCCAGAGTTTTCATGAGGATGAAATTACCGTAAGTAGCGTTTTATTCTCTCTGTTTTTCTCCTCTTTTGTGGCGGCAACAGTAAATGTAAGCTTAGCAGGAAATAAAACCAGGTGTTGTAAACATCTGGACCTTGGCTATAAATTGCTTTTCTTCAGTGCTTTTTTGGAGCAACCTATCTTGAACAAAGTGGGAAAGTTTTGGGCTCAGCTGCTCTAAGATTGCGCTGTGGTTCAAAAAGAGGTGACAGATCCTGGTAGGTCAGATGATACGATTGGTGAGTACGAGTTGTAATTAATTTTCAGTTAGACTGAATATGGCGGATGAATCGTTTCTGTTGACAAGGTACATGAAAGGTGGTAACTAAAAATACTGAGTGCAGCGAAATGGGTTTTCAGAAGTATCCAAGGCAGACCTAAAGTAAAGGTAATGCAGGCTTTTTTTTTTTTTTTCTCTGTTGCTGTAAAACTGAACATTACATTGAAGCAATATACATGACATTTTGATACATTGATATTCAAAGACTGAAAAGTAGGAAAGATCTGAAGCTGTCAGGCTACGTAGTAACCAAATGCAAGAATTCCAATTTCTGTTTTCTCTATTTCTAACTCTATTTTATTTAGAGTAGCCGAAACCAGGAGTTTAGAGATACCAGTAATTAATTTCTGGAGTAGCTCTGTGAGGTGTTGACTTCGTAATGCCAGTTACCACTCCTTTCTTAAACATTTATTTACTCTGCATGTGTATTAAGAAAATGTGTTTCACAATGCAGATGCGTTGGGTTCCTTGGTTGCTGGATAACAACCTGCTGTATATTTTTCTTGTTTCATTGATTATATATGTTGTGACGGTTGTTTTTCTTAAAATCTTCAAAGAAATAAGGCTGCAGAGAAGTTGAAGAGAAAAAGAGCCCAGAATTGTGTTTATTGTCGGGGGATGTCAGGACATACTGAATGTCTTAACACTGGCAGTTTGTGTAAAGGGTACAAATAATGCAGCTTTCCAAAGGTGTAACGTGGGCTTCAGAAATTCTAAGCAATTGCTGGAGTTGGATAGAGAGCAATGAGCAGTCTGATCCATTTTCAGGGTTCATTAAGTGACTTGAGGAAGGAGCATGTAGTTAAGTGGGCTGGTATATACCTTGCGCAGGATGTACGTACTAAATAGCCTTGATATTAAGAGTGTTTTGGCAAGCTGTGGCTTTTGGTTTAATATTGTTAAAATTCCTCACTTTTTGAGGCGGTCCTGCCTTTGATTGCTAACTTTTTTCCTAACTTAATTTTGTTCTGTAGGGGCTACTTGATGGGTTAGTACCTCTTGTGATGTGTGAAAGCCCAAGGTGCATTTACTCCTCTTCCTGAAGCAGCAGCAAGAAACAAATTCCACAGTCACTGCCGACAGGAAACAGACCTGAACATGGGAAGCATCTGAAGAGAGTGCTCTCTGCAACCAGTCTTAAACTACTGATGGCTGATTTGTCATTTTAAAACAGCTATTACTTAGTTGTGTTGTTCTTGTTTTTTAATTTCCAACAAAACAGAAACAAGGAAACCTGTCTTTAGCTCTGCCTTGAAATGAATATTGCCCCTTGGTTTTACAGTTTTTTGTTGCAAGGTCTGTCCCTTCTTTCTTGCGTGGGAGAATTGTGTGAATTGGACAAGAAACACCTGAAACGTTTTCCCAAGTTAAAGTCTGAAAATAAATAACTTTGGATGCTTTACAGTCCAAATGCAATGTGTCTGAAATGATTTCAAAGGCACCTTTTGCCTTATTATTAATGGCTTCGTATGAGTAATTCCAGACGTGCACGGGGAGAGGCAAACTGTATAAATGTGCTTTTGTTTGTAAAAAAAATGTATGACAGAAGCCAAATAAAACTTATTTTCTATGAAGTTATTTGAATTTGATCTATTTTCTGAAACTTTTTCTCGAGTATGCGTCACGTATTCTGCATCCAGGCTTGATATGCTCTGCTGTACCGTGAATGCATAATTTCTGCTTTATTTTTCATAGTTGGTCAGTTTGTGTTTTTTATCAATATCAAGGGCAAGAGACCTCATACTTTCTGTGCACTTGTCCTGTATCTAAATGACATTATCACCAATCAAATTAATTTACTTTTGTAGCTGCTGCGTTTCTGTTTGAGAATTGAGGCTCCAGCTTGTTTTTGTCTTCAGTTAAAAGACTGAATGTTACCACCGTGCTTCATTAAAATGTGTTTGGGGGTAGGAAGGATCTAAACTGACAGAAATGTTTTTTCTGCAAGCCACGTGAGTTTGAGGCACTATTTTTATCTGTGTAGTAAATGTCACTGAGATGTTTTTATTCCCTTAATTCTATATATATCTGTGCATGTACCTAACCTAATTTCAGAGGTAGCTGTTAATTATTTACCCTTGGCGTATTCTCTCATTCTTACACACGTTATGTTTCCATTCCCTCATTCTTGCATGTGATATGACTTCTGTGTTTGTTCATCTTAAGTGTGTTTTATTAAGATTTAGGGTAGCTGAAGCTGCTCAGTGAGGTTAAGAACTGCGAAGTTCTGTTCCTTTCAAAGTGATTATCTTGTGGTTTCAGATTTTGGTGTGACACATGCTTTCTTTCAAGGGAAGAGATTTGATGTTATGTAAGTCAATAACAGTACATAATACATCTGGGGGAAGTCAAACAAGACAGACATATCACTGAGTACAGTTGTTCTGATCTCCCTCTCGCTTGGTACTTTTCCCATCACTGTTCAATTTCAGCCTCTGGATTTGCTGCCAAATCCAAATGAGCACACTCTTGAACAGTGATTTTAATTACGTACTTGAATGTCTACGCATGGTCTGTGAAATGCATTTGGTTATAATTGAACCCTAAGTGATCTAACATGAAACAAAATGGATTTGTGAGTGCACAGTTTTGGAAAAATAAGACTAAGGCCCTGTCTCCAACAAACAAGGTTAAATAATCTTTGTTTCTTTGATCACAGGTTTTGAACCTGGATCTGCTCAGATCCTATGCTCAAGCAGAGGTAGAGAGAGAACAAGGAAACAGTTTCCAGAGCAGAAGATAGATCACCCAGGATCCAGGTGTGTTCTAGATAGGAGCATTTCACTATGTGTAGCTGAAGACTGGTTTATTTGGGGTATGGGCTGGGGGCTTCATGGTCACACGCAGAAAAATTTCTGCAGGACACTTTCACATCAACTGCAAGGAAGGCATTGCTGTACATTGTGGGAGTCATATTATCAGAAAAAGAAAGCCTGGTATTTTACGTAAATGTCTGCTGTTCTTTACAGGTAACAGCATGTGGGTTTTAGTAGGGTTTTAGTGTAGTTAAAAAAAAAAAAAAAAGACAAAAAGAAAACTTCAATTACTGATAATTCCCATCTGCGTTTGGTGCTCTCAACTAGCATGAATGCAACTTGAGTGTGGTGTGAGAAATTAAAGTTGAAATACTGTGATAAAGCACAGCATACAGGAACACATCTTTCCTTGATTAAAAACAGCTGTTTGGCCTATTTCCAAGTAACAGAAGAGTCAGACTGAAGTCTAGAGGTTCTAATTTTCTGACTTGCTGGAGAAAATACTGAATCTGTGCCTCCTCTAGGCTTCGGTATAATCTTGGAGCAATGGTGCCTCATTGGTATAGATGTGGTATTTATAACCTTTGTAGCTTTTGAAAGTTAGCATACACATAAGTGAACTCTTAATAAAATTAACTGATTTAAACAAAAAAAATTGATTTAGGTAAAAAAAAAAAAAAGCAAGCCAGATGTTCTGGTTATGTTCTGATTTCCTTTTTTTTTCCCCAGTACAATTTCTGGATTTCTGCAAATTATGAAACAGCAGTGTGTTTGGAAGGTCTGTACCACTGAAACAATTTTTGGCAGGTGTATGGAATCCATTAGGTCCTGGTCTGAACCAGTGATTGAGCACCTGTGCAGGGGTGTAACCAACCCTGGGAGCACAGGTGGAAGCAATTCACTCTTGTGACCCCCGCATCCACAGTTCCCTAACCTCATTTGAGGGCTGGCAGCCGCAAGGAAAGCATCTCTACTGGGAGATCATCTCCTTTGGAGTGTTGGGTGAGCACTGATCCTCAGAAAGGAGTAAGTAATTTCTTTTTTGTTACCTGATGGCGATTGCTACCTTTCTTGGGTGATCTGGAACTGGTTTTAAGTAGTTATGTCTGCTGCCTCCTGTCCTTATATTGGGAGTATGATGTTTCAACAACCATATTGAGGGGATGCTGATAAATACCTTTGCTAGTAAAGATAATCATGGCATTTTTATGTCTGAATTTGAACTTGCAAAAAATGTATAACTTAATTAAAATGTATGATGCTTCTTAAAAGTAAGCTTATTTTTTGGTATAAAGTAGTCCACACTGATGTCTGAAATAAAATGGAGATCTTTCTTAGCCTAAGTGGAATGTTTTGAATTCACAGCATTTTGATTCTGAATTGGTTGCGCTTAATGGAATCTTGTGTCATTCTTTTGAAGCTGGATGCTTGTTCTAGTTACTTACTTTATATGCATAAATGTATTTTCTTAAGGTATTAATTAAGAAGCACTAGTTACTAGTAATTGAAGCAGTCGTAAATTGCTGCTGCTGCAATTTACAACAAAGGGAGTACATTTGGTTACGGGGAAGATGGCGGATCTCACTTGTCTGATGCACTTGGGAATGCTGTATACAAAAGAAACTTTTTTTCCTTGCAACATCGCAATGGCTGTGAAATAAATGTGAAACTTGTGTGAAAATGATGATTGTGTTTTGCCTTCAGTGCTGGCTTTCTTCAAAGAGTTGCAGTGTTGGCTCTGACTTACCATTAGAATTTCTAGTTCCTGCTTTTCAATTTGTGGTTGTTTTAGAACATTTTTCTTCCAGAGCTTGGTTAAAGAGGTTTGAAACAATTGCAGAAAATGAATGAATTGAAATGATTGGAAGAACCTCAGAAGAACACAATCTTGTAACAATTTACAGTGACCCTGAGGCATTTCAGCTGTGCTAATTACTGGAGAACTGAAATTAGGATTTCAGTGGCAGGAAAATACGCAATTAATGCATCTTAAAGGGTGGTGTTGGTGGGAAAGTAACTGATGGAAGTAGAAGAGTAGGTGACGACTAATGATGCTGGTGTCCTTTTTGTTGGGTGTGGATCAGCTAAGAACTGAACTAAGATCACAAGCTTTTATTTATTAGAACAGCTGTGGCACTGTAACGGGAGGCAGGCCTGCCCAGACTTGCACCATGTTTTAACTGGTGATATAGAAGTGAGGAGCTGCATTCTGATGTCTTGAATTATTAACTGACTTGCTAAGCTGCTGTTTAATGGTATCAATTCAATTACTGATGTCTTTTTGATACAAGATGAAGTTTCACTTACATCACATAACTGCCATATAGGTTCTGTAAATGTCAAAGCTGTTAGGCTGTTTTACCTGTGGAATGCAAGAAATAGTGTTTAGCTATAAGTAAATCAGATCAATGTGGTATCATCTGCTGACTTACGAATGCAAAAGACTGGCGTTAGGAATTTCCTTTTTTGTATCAATTTTCAATGCAAAGTTCAGCGCTGAGGTGGGAACGTGGATGCCTTTATTGGTGGTGGTAACTGTGCTCAGCAGCAAACAGGGATATTCTAGGGTAAAACTTCAAGGGGACGTGCTTTCTGTATTCCTTAGTAAACAGACTGAAACAATTTGGGAACTTCTAACTTTCTGACAGCTCTTGGATGATAGATAATATATTCTCCATATTCAACATTCCAGTACCTCATCTGTCTGGAAATGCAGATGGAGGGTGTGAGGGATGTGGAATAATAAACCAGAATCGACTTCAGTCTACGATAAAGCTTTAGGAGGTAAGGATTGTGTGTAGAATAACTGGAAGGAAGTGGTAAGATGATAATTAGCCAACTCTAATCTTTCAAGAGTAAGCCATGGAGAGGTATGGACCCCTTAAGCAGAAGAAAAGCAGATGTTTTTTCAGCTGCAGCTTTTGAAGCTGTCTTGCACGTTATGGAAATCTGGTCTATCTGAAACAACTGTAAGCTGGATGCAGAAGTACTTCGAAAACCATTTTTAGAGATGGCTTACTGATTAGCTCATATCCTTTTATCAGAGTGAGTTGGTTTTTTTTTTTGAGGACCATCCCTAGGCTAGATTCATCCAACACCCAGTGACCTGGATAGAATGGGCAGTACTTACTACATTAGCATACATCATAAAATTAAGACTGCTGAAGGTCAGAATAAGGATGTAGCATAGTTATCTTGAGAGATCAAATAGTGCCTTAAAAGGAACTAATTGGCTTACTCACTTTTGTTCCAAGTGCAAAATAGGTTAGATTGCAGTTGGACTTGATGGTCTTCAAGGTCTTTTCCAACCTGAACAATTCTATGATTCTATGAAATAGTAAAGATAAATAAGCAATATAGCTGGCAAAATGTGGTGTTACTCCTGGTAAAGCATTCTAGGGATAAAATAGTTGACTACCTGACTAAGTTGTCTATAGCAGTGATGATATTTCCACTGTTTGGAGCTTTAAGAGCAAGGCCATTTGAGCATCTGTCAAAATTTGCTGATAAGGCTAATATAGCATTGGTGTGAAAGATTTTTTTGAAGTGTCTTCCACCAGCTGCCTATTTTCATTACTTCAGAGGTGAGAAGGAAACTTCTGACCTTCCAAACACTGCCACTTCCCATCTTTAAAATTAGTAACGGAAAGGTCTTTCTGTAAGCGACTGTACACCAACAAATATACAGTTAGCAGAGTGACTTGGCTAGGCTGTTTTTTTATGCATTGTAAATCTGGAAGAATTATCACAGTAGAAGGAGATAATTGAAAAGAAATGAAAATGCCCACCTGTATCCTCGGCTTGCAGAAAAACTCCAAAGGGGAGATCTCCAGAAAAAGAGCCTTCTTGGGTGGCAGTCAGCTCTTAAATGGACTCTAGGAGAGGTGCAGCTAGGCTCCACCCCTGCCATTCACACAGGTGAATTGCCTTCACCTGTGCTCCCACAGCTGACCTGGTGTTTGCTTCAGGTGATCAATCAGTGACTTAGCAGTTCCCATACGATGACTAAATCTGTCCTGTAGGTATATACCTGCAGTGTATTCATAAAACAGAATCCTGTTGGTCTCGTTGCAATCTGGAGGAAAAAAAAAAAAAAGTAGTTGTCTGACTTGCACATGGCAGTAGAAGGTATTTTCATTAACTTTTACTTCAAAGCAGAAAATGGGTTAGTTGTTGATGTAAGGAAAACAAAAAGATATAGATTTCTTATTTTTTGAAGGCCTTTCCATTTCCTAGTTGATTTCTACGTCTGTCTGTCCCTAAATTATGCTGCTGTTAGAATGAAGCAGCAGTCAGAATAGCTGCCATACTGGAACAGAACTATCAGTGGGCAGAGGGAGTCTGTGATATTTCTAGGAGTATTTTGGTGATGCAGCTTTCTCTGTGCATCTGTCTGCTCTGAGGTGGAGCAGCAGAAAACACTAATGAACTTGTAAATTGCTATAGATTCTCTGCATTTTTACTTTTAAAGAACTTTGCTTCATTGATCCGTGAAATTTAACTTCTACCATGTTTTACTCCAGTGTATGCTGTCTCTGCTACCATTAGCCATTACACCAGCTCAGAACTAGTTTTGTCTCCTGCTGGCCTTAGTGGTTTTTTTTTGTTTGTTTTTCCCTGGGGATTTATACTGTTTTTCAGCAGCTGCCATCTCTTGTTTTTCTTTTCCTTGCTGTCATTCTACACTTCCAACTTTCGGGACACCACTGCTGTTTTTGATTGCTCTTCCTAACTCCGGTGTTATTACTTTCCTTAAAGGATATCATTTATCAGTCTTCTCAGCAATTCCATTTTCTCGTTCCTCCTCATCTAGTACTTTCTCTTTTATCACACTCAAATCCATCACTTGGCTATCCATCAGCTGTGTGCTACTCTTGGCTTTGTTACCTCTATTCCTTCCTCTCTGACTGCAGGTCCTTCAGTTTTCCCTGCTGGCCACTGTCTGAGCTACTTCACCCAGCGGTGACTCCACACTTCATTAGCCCCCGCTATCCATGACAAAGCTCAATCTCCTGCTTTCTCTCATCCTTTCAGCTTCGATCATCCTCCCATCGTTCCTTTAACTACTCCAGTTTTCTCTTAGCTGTCTCATATATTTGTCTTTATTGTTCTACACCTCACACCATCTGTTGTGCTGCTGCTTGCATGACTCATCCTGAAAACAATACAAATCCTTCTGCATCCCCAAATACTAAGTTAGGGAGCCAACAAATGCACTCTTGTATCCAAAATGGACATCAACAGCAGTCAAGCCAAGATCCTCGTGGAATTCAGGTACATAATTTTTGTTTAAATCGATAGAAGGAAAGTGCCAGATACGTCTGAGAATCCTGCCAAAGCTTCATCACAACTCTTAAGAAAAGGAGGCAGTTGTATCCTGTGGCTGGATTTAAAAACACCTCTGCAGGGATAACCTGAAAGTTCTTTGGTTTCTTAGCAAATAACCATTTTTTTTTTTTTTTTTTTTTTTTTTTTCTGCACATGCAATTACCAAATGTTTTATGAGCATAGACAACTCATGGTTGGTATACAGTGGAATAAACTAAGAAAAGTCTGTCACAAATACCAAGATTCATACATACAGTAGAGTAGGCAATAAATATGGAAGCTCATAAAAACAGAAATGGAATGTGCTGTCAGACTTTTTTTTTTTAAAGATACACAAGGCACACAGTGCTACTTAACAAAATGATTAACAAACTAGATTTAAATCATTGTTTGGTTTCATAACCTGAGCAGGAATAATTTTACCTATATTAAAAAGATGTTTACCTCTAAAGTTTTAGAAGGCATTAAAAAGCCTTAGTGATGTAATTATTGTCTTGTCTCATCTAACACCTGGTTAACCCCAGGGTACGTTACACTGAAGTCAGTGGAGACAGATCAGTGCAAGGAGGCAAACTGGGCTTAGAATACTAAAGATATGTTTAAGAGTAGCTTTTAACTGCATTTTTTAAATTAAATGTTAACAGAAGAGCTGCTTTTGTTAACGTGGATGGTCAGTATAAAATATTTCCTTTGTGCAGCGGCGTTTGAAAAATAAGTGTATTAAACATCGTGAATTATTTCTAAAGTGAAGTAAATATTAGTAGTTCCATCATCTTTATTAGCTTAATCCTTGGCAGTCTTGAGATCTTTCCATTTTCCCCGTCTTCGATTTCATTTGTCTGCTAAACCTTCGGTTCACCACTGGATGGCATTCTCTGCAATGCAATTCACCCTGGGAAGAAAAGTCTGGTTTTTAAGTGCGGTACTGGATGTGCATGCTGTTTTGTACATGAGTGATGAGTGGAATTAGAAGCACTTTTCCTTGTTGCTGAAGTATAAAAGTGTGATAAAACTTGTCTTTAGAATTCTCTCACTTAAATTCATTTTACAATTGAAACTTCAGGGCTTGAAAGCATACCAGACAGTACACTTGCACTTTTATGGCACCATCCTTGCAAAGACTTTAGAGTTCCTGTCACACACTGACTTCTTAATTAATCTATATGTGTATACATACAGATTCAGCACACAGGCTGAAAAAACTGTAGTATAAAGTTGAGTGAATTACTCAATTACAGCATTACATAGGTTGAAAATGAAGTGATCCCACATCCACTATATGTCTGGTGGGCAAGGAATTAAATGGCTAAAAGGAACTGGCTATGTAAATGGTTAAAATACAGTAAGTGTGAAGGCAAATACAAATCCACGTGGCCATCAGTCATCATTTCTGTAAGTTAAAATTATAAGTCAGAACGTAGCAGAGGCAGAGAAAGCTGTGTGGGCATCACCAAGGTTTCTGTGCATATGGTTGCATGGTGAGTTGACTACCACAAGCTTTTGGAGAAGTTCATGCTAAAACCTGACATCTGCCCTAAAGCATAGTGTGAGAAAATGTTGGTACGCTCCTTGTGAAGCACTGCAATCCACAAGTATGCTTAATTCAACTGTAGGGTTTTCACACTATTGTGTTTTAAGATAGTGAGGTTCTCCTGTTTCATTTGAGAAGAAATTTACGTGACAGCTTATGACACGTGTTCTAGGTGTCTCTTCAGCAGTAAAAAGGAGGTAAAACGAAAACAGAGGAAGAGCGTGTGCTGCAGTACCTGTGGAAAAGAGCCCTTTCACAGCATTAACGTCTGTCACACAAACAGCAGATAGCTGTTTTTATGTCCCTTTTTCAGCCGGGATATTGAAACAGTGAAGCGATTGACTTAAAGCTATGTGGCAGCTAAATAGCAGAGAAGAATAACATTTAGAGCTGATTGTCAGTTCTGCGTTCTACTGGACACTCCATTGAGCAACGATCCATTTGCTGGAGTTCTTGCGAATTTTTTTTTGTTCTTGATATTTGCAGAGTAAAAAATGACTCTGAAAATGCTTTTGTCAAAAAGCAGTTTGTTTGGAAAAAGCAATTATACAGGAACATTCAATTGACACGTTAAGTGTAGTACTTTCCCTTCTGCACACCGGTTTCTGGCAAGTTCTGTTTCTTGAGATGGTGTGCTTCACTGCAGGATCACTTCTAGCATCTCCTTCTCCCTCCTTTACATCTCTTGTTATTGGAAGCGTCACTCTCTCCAATTAGTGCACTGTGCTAAGCTTTCCAAATAAGTTTTCAAATATGCTCTGTCAGATTTCCACTCCCGTTATTACTTTGCTCTTAGTCCATAACATCTGCTGAAATATCAGCAATAATAGAATATCAGAATAATAAAAGATTAAGCACACCCTCCTTTAAGACTGTCTCTGATACTGCAGAACCTCTGAAATTGGAGGACTGTAAACTGGCTCCGATTCTCAGGTCTGACCAACGGTGCCTCAGTCTCCTTCTGTTTCCCTGAGTTGGTAGCTGTGTGCTGTGACTTGCTCAGGTATGGTTCATTACGCTCCTTGGGGCAGGAAGCCTTTGTCTCAGTTTCACCTTTCCCGTGTAAAGAACTCCTCAGCACTTCAATTACGTGCATGACAGATTCCACTTTAATTAAATTTCATCATGAGAAACCCTACCACTAAATTCCTGATCGACTCTACTGCTTATCTTGGTCAGCTTGAGGTTTCAGATTACTTTCTAAAGCCAGTTTTGAAAGCCTTCCACAGTTTCCTATGTTTGGTCTTCTTTTTTTCTTTTTTCTTTTTTTTTTTTTTTTTTTTCTCCTCCCCATTCTCCCTTTCTTTCTGCTTACTGGGAAGTGCCAGCGTCCTCATTAGAGCAGCCTGTTTTGCATTTCCCAGGCCTCCATTCAAACCCTCTGCTGGTGACTTTCTCCATGTTCCTGTGCTTTTTTCTGCCCAGGAACACACTGCTGCACACCCTGTGCTCTGGCCAATCCTTTCCCACGCTGACGCAACATGTTTTTCAGGCTGCCACATGTCCCAAGATGACCTTTCCCAGAGTCTGTGCTCAGTCACATTCTGTCACTTAGTATGAGAGGGAGTTTTCTCCCTAACTGTACGGTGTTGGTCACAGGCAGACTGCTGTGATAACACCCAGACCAGAGGTGGAGATTCTGGGAGGCAACACATTTTTTTTTCTTATTGTGCATTCTGCTGACACCACACATGGAGAAAAATTCTGCACAGAGAAAGGCAAATGTTCACATGACAATAAAGTTACAGTAGCTGCAGTGCAGTGGACTGTGTGTGCTTGTCCTTTCTGGGCAGCGAGAC